CTTTTTAAAGTATTATATCTGAATCCATGTTGCTAGAGGTTTGTGAATTTCACTGGTATTATTGAAGAAACATTTTTACTTTTTTTTTTAACATATTTTATTGATTTTTACAGAGAGGAAGGGAGAGGGATAGAGAGTTAGAAACATTGATGAGAGAGAAACATCGATCAGCTGCCTCCTGCACACCCCCAACTGGGGATGTGCCCGCAACCAAGGTACATGCCCTTGGCCGGAATCAAACCCGGGACCCTTCAGTCCACAGGCCGATGCTCTATCCACTGAGCCAAACCAGTCAGGGCAACATTTTTACTTTTTAAATTCTTTCCATTATATGTTTTCTAATTTATTAATTTCTGCTCTTTATCCTTTTATTCCTTCTACTTTCATTAGGTATATTTTTCTGTTCTTTGTAAAATATTTATTTATTCATTTATTTTGAAACAATTTAGATTTACAAAAAATTGCAAAAACTGTGCAGAGATTCCCTATACTCCTTTCATCACACATTTCTTAGTGCTAACATCTTACACAACCATAAGACAGTTTTAAAACCAGGAAATTAACATTGCTATAACACTGTTAGCTAATCTACAGACCTTATTTTGACTGTGCCAATGGTCCCACTAACATTTATTTCCTGGTCCAGGATCCAATGTAGAATTCCAAATTGCCTGTAACTGCTATATTAGTCATATCCTGTTGTGTCACAAATACCCTAAAACTTAGAAGCTTCACACAACAAACATTTATTATCTCATAGTTTCTGTGGGTCAGGAATTTGGGAGCTGCTTAGCTGGGTAGCTCTTGCTCAGGGTCTCTGGTGAGGTTGCATTCATGACGTCAGCTAGGCCTGCAGTCACCTGACCTCTAAGACTGGGGAATCTGCTTTCAAGGTGACATAACGGCAGGGGGCCTCAGTTCCTCATGGGTCTCCCCAGACTGCTGCTTGAATGGCCTCGTGACATGGCAGCGGGCTTCTCCCAGGGAAAGCAAGGTTGAAGTTGCAAAGTCTTTTACGACTTGCTTCAGAAATCAGTGTCATTTCCACAATATCCTGCAGGTACACAGGTCAGCCCTACTCCAGGATGCCGGGATCACTGGGAGACCATCTTGGAGGCTGGCTGCGACAGTTGTCATATCTCCTTGGTCTCCTCCAATCTGGGATAGTTCCTTAGATTTTTTTTCTTCCATGAACTTGACATGTATGAAGAGTACTGTCCAATTATTTTGTAGACTATCTCTGTCGATTTGGATTTATTTGATGTTTTATAATGACTACTTTGAGCTTACTCATTTGGGGCAAGGAGAGTAAGGAAGTGATGTATTCTTCTCAGAGCATATTACATGGTACATAATGTTGGTATGTCTTCTTCTGGTCGCATGAACTTTGATCACCTGGATAAGGTGGTATCTGCCGGGTTTCTCTACTATGAAATTACTCTCTTTTTTGTGTGACTAGTAAACATCTTGTGGGGAGATACATCGAGTTTACGCATATAAACAAGTAATAGATTTTGGGGTACAGTTTAGATTTACAGAATAATTGAGTAGATAATACAGAGTTCCATATCCCTTCCCCCACACCTTCACCTCTGATTACAGTTTCTTCTATTATTATTTTTTTTAAGATATATTTTATTGATTTTTTACAGAGAGGAAGGGAGAAGGATAGAGAGTTAGAAACATGGATGGGAGAGAAACGTCGATCAGCTGCCTCCCGCACACCTCCTACTGGGGATGTGCCCGCAACCAAGATACGTGCCCTTGACCGGAATTGAACCTGGGACCCTTCAATCTGCAGGCCGACGCTCTATCCACTGAGCCAAACCACCCGGTTAGGGCTCTTCTATTATTTTTTTTTAAACTAATTTTGTTCAATATTGGTACTTTTTTTTTAACATGAAGATTTATCCTTTTTAGTGTGTGTGTGTGTGTGTGTGTGTGTGTGTGTATTGATTTCAGAGAGGAAGGGAGAGGGAGAGATAGAAACATCAATGATGAGAAAGAATCATTGATCGGCTGCCTCCGCATGCCCCACACTGGGAGCCCGCAACCTGGGCATGTGCCCTGACCCCTGGTTCATAGGTCAACGCTCAACCACTGAGTTACGCCTGCTGGGCTTGGTTGATTCTTGTATGTGGTATGTGTCCTGACTGGGGATCAAACCCACAACCTTGGTGTACCAGGATGATGCTCTAACCATCTGACTACCCAGGCTGGGCTTATTTGTTTTGTTTTTAATCATAGCCTCTGTTAATTTTCTTCCTGTTCATTTATGTGATATTGGGGCATTTTACAATATTCCTAGTTCAATAGCACACTCTTTTTTTTTCCCCCCCAATAGCACACTCATGTCAATATAGCAAAGACCAGATATTTTATTTTTTTAATTTTATTTTTTATTTTTATTTTTTTAAATATATTTTATTGATTTTTTACAGAGAGGAAGGGAGAGAGATAGAGAGTTAGAAACATCGATGAGAGAGAAACATTGATCAGCTGCCTCCTGCACATCTACTGGGGATGTGCCCGCAACCCAGGTCCATGCCCTTGACCGGAATCGAACCTGGGACCTTTCAGTCCGCAGGCTGACGTTCTATCCACTGAGCCAAACCGGTTTCGGCAAGACCAGATATTTTAGTGGATTTTTGTTTATTTGGTGAGAGGAGGGATTTGTGTCTTCCAATATTTTTGTTTCTCTTTTGTCTGGCAAGACCCTACATTTCCCCCCCTTTTTTTCCCCCCTCCCTTTATCACTCAATCGCCTCGGTGCACTTCTCTCTCAGTCTCGCTTTTCTGGCTTTTATCCCATATCCCAGAATTTATGCATTTTAAAGACTAATCCTTCAAATCCCACATGCCTTCTCTGTAGTCTGAGCTCTTCCTGGTATTTTAACTGCTGAAGGGCCTCGTCTTTCCTACAGAAGTTCTAGATCAGATCAACCTTGGGCCAAGCTGCCAACTTTCCTGTTCCCTCTTCCGGTTTTCTTGGCACAAAACCTTGTGGCAGGTGGAGGTGAGGCGGCGGCGTGAGGGGTCGGCACTGGGATTCGGTGTCTCTTTTCATTTACACTTATTCTGAACTTTGCGCGGTCTCCGCTTTCAAGTGTGCTGAGGCTGTGTTTCCGGCAGACTTTTATTCCCCATTCTTGTTCCGATTTGTTTTGGAAGGAAACGGAGGTGGAGACTTAGGCAGCCGCTATGGCCCTCAGCTACTTGAGGCCCTCAGCTCCCATTTTGTGCCTTTTTAAGACAGAGCTTAGCTCATTAGCTTGAATTCTCTTTTTTATTATCCAATATTGTAAATATTGTATGTATTTGAGGTGACACATTCCTCTCTAAGAACTGTTAGTGTGTCTCCCAACTTTGACAATCAATATTTTCATTATGATTGCAACCTGAAATACCACAAATCTGTTATCTATTTTTTAAAAAAATATTTTTTATTGATTTCAGAGAGGAAAGGAGAGGGAGGAAAAGATAGAAACATCAAGGATGAGAGAGAATTATGGATGGGCAGCCTCCTGCACACCCCATACTGGGATGGAGCCCACACCCTGGGCATGTGCCCTGACCGGGAATTGAACCGTGACCTCCTGGTTCATGGGTCGATGCTCAACCACTGAGCCATGCTGGCCGGGCGTCTACTTTCTAACTTATGTTGTGTGTTTTTTTTACCTTGATGCAGGATTCCCCCTTCCCCACCCTAACCCCTAATTTACCTGTTTGTTGTCTATGTTTGACTTAATTGTCTTGTGGTAAAAAATAAACACCACATAGACGGAATGATTTTAATTTTTTAAAATTAGTTAAGTTACTTTATGGTTTAGAATTTGAGACTTTATTGGAAAATATTCTGCATATGTGTTTTTCTGCATTTGTTGGGTATACTGCTTCTTATCTGTCCACTAGGTCATATTTGTTAACCATATTCTTCATACCTTTTAAATCCTTGCTATTTTCACTGACTGGGTAGCTCAGTTGGTTAGAGCATCCACCAGATACGTAAGATTGGGAGTTTAATCCCCGGTTAGGGTTCATACAAAAATCAACCAGTGAACGAAACAAATCCACAACCTTTTGGTGCATGGGACGATGCTCCAACCAACTGAGCCACCTGGCCAGGACTAAATACATATTTTAAGTCACCTGTCACTACCTCATACTTGTTAGGATAGCTATTATCAACGAAACAGAAAATAACAACTGTTGGCAAGAATGTGGAGAAATAAGAACCCTGTGCATTGTTTGCGGAACGTAAAATGGTTCAAACGCTGTGGAAAACAATTTGATGTTTCCTCAAAAAGTAAAAATAGAATTAGCAAATGATGCAGCAATTCCACATCTGGGTATATAACCCAAAGTACTGAAAGCAGAGTCTCAAACAAAATGTGGCATCTACATAGAATCAATATTATTTAGTCTTAAAAAAGGAAGAAAATTCTGACAAAGGCTATAGCATGAATGAACCAATCGACAGTGTGCTAAGTGAAATAAGCCAGTCACACAAAGACAGATGTTGTATGATTCCACTTACACGAGGTATCTAGAGTGTTGAATTCATAGGGCAGAAAATAAAATGGTGGCCCTGGCCGGGGAGCTCAGTTGGTTAGAATGTCATCCAAATATCAAGGTTTCAGGTTCAATCCCTGGTTGGGGCACATACGAGAATCAACCAATAGATGGGACAACAAATCGATGTCTCTCTCTCCCCCTCCTTCCCTCTCTTCCTTTCCTTCCTCTCTTTCTCTAAAATCAATAAATAAAAATTAAAAGGAAAAATTATTTTAAAAAGACAAGAAAAGAAAATAGAAAGGCGGCCCCAGGGGCTGGGAGAGTCAGGGTTTCGTGGGCACAGAAATCCAGGTTTGCAAGATGAAGCGTTCTGGAGATGAATAGTGGGTGTTGATTTCACACCAATAGGAATGTACCTAAAACCAATAAACTTAAAAATGATTAAGGGGGTAATTTTTTATTTATTTTTTTTAACCCTTGACCAGAATCGAACCTGGGACCCTTCAGTCCGCATGCCGAGTCTCTATCCACTGTGCCAAACCGGTCAGGGCAAGGTAGTAAATTTTGTTATGTATATTTTACCACACACACACACAAAAAAGGAAAAAAGAGTCACCTGTCTAGGTAGGATTGTAGACAGTAAATGAGCCAGTGAAGACTTGAAGCCCAAAGGGCCTAATGCTGCTGGCCCAACGGGGTGGGGTGGGTGGGGGAGGGGTGGGCAGGGCAGCGGTAGCTGAGTGATTTTGTTTTTTGCTTTTTAATCCTCACTGAGGATATTTTTTCAATTGATTTCCAGAGAGAATGGGAGGGGGAGAGAGGAGAGAGAGAAACATCGATTGGTTGCCTCCCACAGACGGCCCTGTCAGGGCTGGGGAACCTGCGCCCTTGACCGAAATCGAACCCGTGACCCTTCGATCCGTGGGCAGAAGCTCTAACCATTGAGCACGGGTCAGGGTGGCTTAGTGGTTTTGGGTAAAGGCCTCCTCTACCGACTCTGGGCCATCGGTCAGGCTCTCCCTCCTTCTCTCAAAGGATCTTGGGAAGGGGATGTAGCCTCTTGGGATTCTCATGCCAGGACCATCTGCTCTCTGGCTCCCAGACTTTGGGATTCCTGGATCTGAAGAAAGCACGGGCACACCCAGCGACCCTGCCCCGGCGAGGCACAGTCAGTGGATTTTAACTCACACTCAGTCACGGCCTCATCCCCCTGCACCTGGCTCTGCACCTGTCCGGCGGTGGGGAGGGGCCTGCCGCCCCGCAGGCCCTGGGCTCCAGCTGGCCGCCTCTTTGCAGGTGGGGAAGCTTTGGAGTCTGTATCTTGGGCAGCTGGGGAGGCGAGCGGCGGAGGCTGGATGTGCTCCTGGCAGAGGTAGGCGGGCCGGCCCAAATCCCCTCTCGCAGGAAGGGGCGGGCGGCAGCGAGCTGTGGGCGGGCCGCTCTGAGGCTCTATAAATGCAGGCGCTGGAGGCTGCTGGCCAAGCTGTAGGTAACCCCTGAGCTCAGGTGAGGCTTCTGGAGAGCGAAGGAGGAGGCTGGGCTGCCGGTGGGGTCCTAGGTGGAGGCTCCCGGGTTGACCACGGGGCGGTGGGCGCACCTTCTCCTGAGTCCTTTAGGTGGCGTCTCTCTCCAGAACTTGATAAGTTTGAGGTGGTCCCAACTCAACTTGCTTAAACCCAAGCATTGGCATAACAGCATCCCTCCTTCTGGGCCTCAGTTTCCCCCTGTGAAATGAGGGCTTAGTCGTCCCGTAAAGTTGGCCACTTTGGTGCATGGTGAGAGGGTGGCTGTGAGCTGGGGAGCATGGGGAACAGTCAAACTCTTCGGTTTTGGGGGTCAGACTGGCTCCACTTTTAGGTGGCCATGAGTCTTCACACTTGTTTCCACGTTTGCAAAATGGGTCTTCGGTTCTGTCTGCCTACCAGGGGGAATAAGGTGATGCCCTCGGCGCATTTAGCACAGCTCTAGGCACTTAGGGTCCCTCAGTGCTGCCTGCTGCGGCTCTTACTCTCTGGCCCAGCCTGGAGGGGCCCGGGCCGGGGGTGGGGAGCTGCAGCCTCCAGGATCTCTGCTCTTTTCTGGCCTCCCCACCCTACAAGCCCCCCCCCCCCCAGTTTCCTTCTCTTCCAAGCCCCCAAGTCTCCATCTTCATCCGTCCACCTTCTGGAGGGCCTCTCTCAGACCAGCCTCACCAACCCCTGACTTGTTGGGGGCGAGGGGAAAGCTGCTAAGTCCTGGGGCTCCTTTCTCTACAGGTCACCCGCCCCCGCCCCGCCCCACCCGCCCCCACCCCCTATGAGATGAGCAAAGCCCGGGCCCCTGCCCATGAGGTTGCCATCCAGGTGAAGCTGTGGGGCTGGAGCTGTCAAGATGGGGGCAGTGGGCCTCTGGCTGCCCGCCAGCACCTGGAGCTCCGGGCCTTCCTCCGCCTGCTGGGTGAGCTGACGGGACTGGCATGGGAGGGCCCAAGCTGGAAGCAGACATGAGAGGTGGGCTCTCCCTGCCCCTTCCCTTCCCTTCCCTTCCCTTCCCTTCCCTTCCCTTCCCTTCCCTTCCCTTCCCTTCCGGCCCTGGTTTGGCAGGTGGGTTCAGTGGAGTCGGGCTTTGCAGCTTCGTGGCGCTCTTGTCTGGTGGGAGGTGGGTGGTAACCCCACTTAGCCTTTCTCCTCTCTGCCCGCAGAGCACAGCTGCCTTCAGGAATTCCTTGCCAGAGACCCCTGTTTCCAGGTTTCAGATAAGGTGGGGGGACACTGGGGGAGGTTGACTTGGTGGGGATCTCATGCTGCTGACTCACTGGGTCCCCTGGTCGGGTGGAGGGACCGCCTGCTTTTTTAGCCCATGTCTCTGCAGGCCCCTCCCCCCTTAACCCCAGTTTCTCTAACCCCCACAGAACTTCCTTGGGTGCAAATAGGCCTGGCGCAGCTCCCCTTTCCCCCCAGTGCCCAACTCTAACCTCTCCCCCCTGCTGTGCCCGCAGTATCTCCTGGCCATGGTGCTGGTCTACTTCCGGCGTGCCAACCTGAAACTCAGCGAGTACACCTGCAGCAACCTGTTCTTGGCACTGTGAGCGCCCCGGCGGGGGTGGGCACGCTGCCCATCCTACTTGCTGTAGGATGTGCAGGGCAGATGCTTCTAACCCCTGCCCACCCCCACCCCTGTGGCCAGGTACCTTGCAAACGATATGGAGGAGGACCTGGAGGAAGCCAAATGTATGATTTTCCCGTGGGCCCTGGGCGAGGGCTGGCACAATCGGGTGGCAGACTTCCTGCACCAGAGGGACAGGCTGTGGGCGAGGATGGGCTTCCGGGCTTTAGTGAGCCGCCGGCACTGTGAGAAGGTGAGGCCCTGATGGCATCCTGGGGTGGGAAAAAGAGACTGGGGACGCCCCCAACCCCATTTACCGTTTACTCCACCTCTGCCAGGTCATGGCCATGGAGCCATCCCACCGGGCCTGGACTCGGGAACGGTGCAACCACCATGGCGGGGCGCACAGGAGCTACTCAAAGGCCGGGATCACCCTCCCCGGGGGCCCCGGCTTCTCACCACCCCGCTGCTCCCTCTGTGGCTCGCCCCCTCTCCACAGTCACTACTCCCACCAGCCCTGCCCCTTGCCTGTCTTACCCGAGAGTCCTGCCCCAAACCCCGAGTGGTACGGCTCTCCTTCCCAGGCCTGTCTCTCAGGGGCTGAAGACCCCTGGGCTGGGGGCTTCCTCATGGTCCTGCCCTCCCAGCTACTTCTGGAGCCAGGCACCTACACCCTTCACAGTGAGTTGAGGGCAGGAGCTGGGGGTGGGCTTGGGCGCCTGGGAGACAGGTGTGAGGCTGACCGAATGAGAGGAAGGGCCGGGACCACAGGTCTGGGCGCATGCCCCAGCTCTGCCAGCTCCTAGCTGTGTGAGCTGGGAAGTTTCCTCTCTGAGCCTCTCTTCGTCCTTCCCCCAGTCCTCTCGGAGCCGCTGCCAGTGCCCTAGGCGCAGACGGATGGACGGATGGACGGACGCTCGCAGGGTGAAGAGCAGCTGGCCTGCCTGCCCTGTGGCCCGCTGCCCTCCTGTCTTGTTGACTGCAGGCTGTCAGTGCTGCCCAAGCCCCCTGGCCCCTCCTCCCGACCTGCACCTTGCACCCACCCTGCCCCTGCCCCCCTCTAATAAACTCATGTCCACTGTGCTTAGGCCTGGCTCCGTGCCCAGGGTGGGGGAGGGAGGGAGTGGGGCGAGAGGCATCTGGCAGGCTCAGGTCTGTGGTTGAGACCCATGAGCACAAGTTCTATCATCGTTCTTCTCCTTCCCGTTGGTGGCGGTCATCCTGAGCCTCAGTTTCCCCTCTCTGGCCTCCCCTGTGGGTGATGAGATCTGCCGTGTGGGTGGCACTGGATGAGATGAGGTGTCCGCAGCCCTGGGAAGAGGGCCTGGAGCCCACTGCACACAAACAGCTCAAATGAAAAGCAGCTCTATACTTGTCCGAAATGCCCGGGGGCAGGTCTGTCCAGGAATTAGACTAGGCCCTTGCCCTGGGCTGCAGTCCAATAGAATGCCCTGGTTACGCTAGAACACCCCTCCCCAAAGGGTGTTGTTAATGACGGGCAGGGCGGCTTTCCAGAGAAGGTGGGTTTGAGCTGGCCTTGGACAGTGTCAGGTTTGCGTGAGGGCTGGCGAGGGGGTGGTTCTGAGGAAGGGGCTTCTTAGAGAGACAGCCTATTGTAGTGACTAAATCTTGGTCTCTGAGCCAGGCAGCTTCAGATTCCAGGTTCCTGCGTGACCTGGGCATGTCACTGAACCTCCCCCACTGCCTCATCCGTAAAAGGGGCATTGTACCAAAACGGGTTTTGAATGATCTAATCCTAGAAGGGTTTAGAACTGCCTCAAGAGTAGAGCGCAGCCCTGGCCAGGTAGCTGGATTGATTGGAGTGTCGTCCCGATGTGCCAAGGTTGCGGGTTCGATCCCTGGTCAGGACACATATAAGAAGCAACCACTGAATGCATAAACAAATGGAACAGCAAACTGACGTTTCTCGCTCTCCCTCCCCTCTCTCTTTCTAAAAAAAAATCAATCAAAAAAGGATGGAGCTCGAATATGTGTTTACAGCCCCAGCAGGTTTGCTCACTGGGTAGAGCGTCAACCTGCAGACTGAAGGGTCCTGGGTTTGGTTCCAAAGACACATGCCTGTGTTTCGGACTCTATCCCCAGTAGGGGGCGTGCAGGAGGCAGCCAAGCAATGATTCTCCCTCATCCATTGATGCTTCTGTCTCTCTCCCTCTCCCTTCCCCTCTGAAGTCAATAAAAACCTATTTTATTTTTTAAAAATGACAGAAAAAATATATAAAAATAAAAAATGACAGGAAGAAAGGTCATTTTTTTTTGATGGATATAATGGTTACAGATGACGGGCATTGGGGGCTGAGGGGGACTCCATTGTTTGGACAACAAGGTTGTTAATCTTTCCGTGACAACAGGCAGTTTGGACCACATTCCAAAGTTGACTCCCAGGTCCGGGGGCGTACAACACCCAGCCAGGTTAGAATGTGCTTTCTTTCTTTTTTTTTATGATTAATATTTCTTATAACTAATAGCTAGTTCTCAATAGTCTATTTCTGCCCCTAACAATACCTTGCCCCACGTATTTCTTCTGTCTGGCTGTTCCTGAGTTGTATCCTTTTTAATAAACTGGTAATAGTAAGTAAAGCACTTCCCTGCATTTTGTGAGCCTAAGTACTAAATTATCAACCCTGAGGAGGGGGTGATGGCACCCTCAAATTTGTAGTTGGCCAGAGTGTGGGTCGCCTGGGCATCCCTTTTGTGGCTGGCATCCTGTGGGACTGAGTGTTTACCCTCCGAGGTCTGTGCTGACTCTGGGCAGTTAATGTCAGGACTGAATTGAGTTGTGGGTACCTAGTTGGTGTTGGAGAATTGGTGTGGGGAAACCACAGGTATTTGGTAACTGGGAAAAAAACACATTTAGTGTGAGAAGTGGTGTCAGAAAAAAGACACCACAGCAAATACGCATTTCTGTCCCACCCCCTTTAAAAAAACAAAAAACAGCTGAGTCACACTGGCCTGGGTTTGCTGGACAGATTTTTAAATCTAGTCAGGTCAATTTTGTGTGGCTTCTGGGTTTTGTGTCATCATTAAAAAGATCTTTTCCACCTGAGGTGATTAAAAAAGCTTCTCCTTGCCGAAACCGGTTTGGCTCAGTGGATAGAGCGTCGGCCTGCGGACTGAAGGGTCCCAGGTTCGATTCCGGTCAAGGGCATGTACCTGGGTTGCAGGCACATCCCCAGTGGGAGATGTGCAGGAGGCGGCTGATCGATGATTCTCTCTCATCGATGTTTCTAACTCTCTATCTCTCTCCCTTCCTCTCTGTAAAAAATCAATAAAATATATTTTTTAAAAAAAATTTCCTCCCATTTTCCTAACAGTTTTTTATTGAAAACCTTATCTTTTTAAAAATATATATATTTTTATTGATTTCAGTGAGGGAGAGAGAGAGAGATAGAAATATCAATGATGAGAGAGAATCATCGATTGACTGCCCCTTGCACGCCCCTACTGGGGATCCAGCCTGCAACCCAGGCATGTGCCCTTGACCGGAATTGAATCTGGGACTCTCCAGTTCGCAGGCCGATGCTCTATCCACTGAGCAAAACCAGCTAGGGTGAAAACTTAATCTTTTATTAAGGCATAGTTGACATGCAATAAACCACATACACTTAAAATGTACATTTTTGTTTTGACATGTATATACCCTTAAAACCATTACTGATCAAGATAATTAACATATCCATCATCCAATAAGTTTCCTCAAGCCCCTTGATAATCCCTCCTTCCCACCCATTGCCATCTGCTAGCACCTCCATCAACTACTGATTTGCTTTCTGTCACTAAATTGGCGTTCCTTTTTTAGAATTTTCATATAAGTGGAATCATATGAATATGTACTCTCTCCTTTTTTTAATTTTTATTTTTTTCTCTCCTTTTTTTAGTATGTACTCTTGTCTGGCTTCTTACACTCAGTATAAATTATTCTGAGATTCACCCATTATTGTTCCTTTTTACTGCTGAGTAGTATTGTATGCTCACAATTTGTTGATGAACATTTGGTTGTTGCTGGTTTGGGCCATTACAGGTACAACTACAATGAATATTCATGCACAAGTCATTATATGGACATATGCTTTTATGGGTAACACTAGAAATCCAGTGCATGAATTCATGCACCAGTGGGGTCCCTCGGCCTGGCCTGCAGGATCAGGCTGAAACTGGCTGTCTGACATCCCCTGAGGGGTCCCAGATTGTGAAAGGGCACAGGCCCGGCCGAGGGACCCCACCAGTGCATGATTGGGGCCAGGGAGGGGCACAGGCAGTTGGCCAGCTGGGGAGGGACTGTGGGAGGGCTCCAGGGCATGTCCAGCCCATCTCACTAAGTCCGAATTGGCTGGACCCCAGCAGCAAGCTAACCTACCAGTCTGAGCGTCTGCCCCCTAGTGGTCAGCGCACATCACAGCGAGCGGTTGAGTGGCCTAAGCATATCATTAGCATATTGTGCTTTGATTGGATGAACGGATGACCAACCAGACACTTAGCATATTAGGCTTTTATTATACAGGATTGCCTAGGAGTAGAATGGCTGGGTCATATGTATGTTCAGCATTTTTTTTTCTTTTTTAAAGATAGACTGTTTTTCAGAGCAGTTTTAGGTTCACAGAAAAATTGCTCAGCGGGGACTCTCTCCCCCTCCCCACGTGGGAGTCTGTACTTGTTCTCCAATAAATTGCCACCTTTACTACACAGTCTTCTGTCCGTGATTTCATTCTTTGACTCCAACAGACAAAGAGCCCAGGGAAAAACCATCCTGCCCAGGGGAACACCACGCGTTTCCAGTCCAGAATTTCCATATCATCATGGTGCACAGGCCAGGAAATGCATACTCTCTTCACAGCGAGCAAAATAGAGCCAAGGTCAAAAGCTGAACGGACCTCGACAGGAAAAATTGGTACCAGAAGAGAAACACTTCGCCTGAGATCCAAAGACCCTGCCACTGTGGGAGAAGCGCCCTCTGAAACCAGTGCCCCGGCAATTGAGAAGACTGATGATCATCTTGACTTGTGCATGGGAATTCGAGGTATTGAATGAGCCACCACAATAGCTGAAGCTGGGAAGGGCAAAGGTGATCCAGATGGATTCGCTGTGGCACTTGACAAAGCTCTTGGAGACGTTACGTTCCCAGATGCATTTGCCTTTGATGTTTGGGAGCCGTTGGTGATGCCAAACGAGGAGGATTATGATGTGGATGTCCACCACTGGAGAAATGAACCATTGTTCCTGTGTGTGTGTTTTTTAAATAAACCTAAACAATCTGCTTTTAGGGGAAAAAATTGCTCAGCAAGTAGAGAGAATCCCCATAGATCCCCTCTCCCTCTGACACAGTTCCTTCTATTACTAACATCTTGCATTACTGTGGCGCATTTGTTACAACTGATGAACCAATATTGATACATTATTATTAATTAAAGTCCACAGTTTACATTAGGATTCACTCAGTTTTGTACATCACAGGGGTTTGACAAATGCATGTCATGTATCCACCTTCACAGTATCATATAGTTTCACTGCCCTACAAATGCCCTGTGCTCCCCTATTCATTCCTCCTTCCGCCCCTGAACTCTTGGCAACCACCCATCTTTTTTTAAAAATCCTTACCTGAGAACACCCATTTAGTGATTTTTAGAGAGAGAGGAGAGAGACATCCACGTGGGAGAGAAACACTGACCGGCTGCCTCCTATAAACACCCAACCTGGGGTTGAACCACAACCCAGGCATGTGCCCTGACTGGGAGTCGAACAGGTGCCTGGACCAACTGAGCCACACTGGCCAGAGTGCACCCTTCTATTCATTTGCATTTCCCCAGTGAATAATGTGTTGGGCAATTTTTCGTGGCTTATTTGCCATTCATATATCTTCTTGAGTGAAGTGTCTATTCAAATCTTTTGCCCATTTTTATTGAATTATTATTTTTTTGTTAATCCTCACCTGGGGATATTGTTCCATTGATTTTTTAGAGAGAATGGGGGGGGGGGGAGACAGAGAAAGAGAAACATCGATGTGAGAGAGACACATCGATTGGTGGCCTACCACAGGCGCCCTGACCAGGGCTAGGGATCCAGCCTGCAACCTCGGGACCCTTCAGTCCCCGGCCGATGCTCTAACCACTGAGCAAAACCAGCCAGGGCTATTGAGTTATTTTTAAGTGGTAAAAGTTATTTATGTATTCTAAATACAAGCCCTCAATAATTTTGACAATTATTTCCTCTTCATTTGTGGCTTTTTCATAATAGTACCTTCTAAAGAACAAGTGTTTTTTGATGAAGTTAAACCTTTTTTCTTTTATTGTTTGTGCTTTATGTACATATTTATGAAATCTTCGCCAAACCCAAGACCATTAAGGTATTTCCTAAGCTTTCTTCTAGAAGTTTCATAGTTTTAGAGTTTACATGTACATGTATAATCCAGTGTGAGTTAAATTTTGATGTGGTGCATCCTAAATAGTCGTCAAGTTCATCTACTTCTCTCTTGTGCCCATCACCTCCCTGGTTTGAAACACCAGTCCCTTTCCCTGGTGTTTCAAACCTCTCTCGCCCACCCAGCCCACTCCCATGCATCCTCCTCCTGCATTTGTACAAATCTGAGCTCAAGTAGAATAAAATCTAAACTCCCACAGCCTACCCGGCCCCGTCATAACCTTTCCCTTCCTTTCTCCTTCTGCTCAAGCAACACTAAGCACATCCCTATACCTCCCCTCCCCTGTGCCCAGGCCATCCCCCCACGCCCGCCTCAGCACCAATTCTCCTTCCAATTCACTGTGGGGTGATAACTGAGTCATGTCTGCCTCCTTGGGGGGCTGAGGCCATGGTCTTCACCCTCTTACGCCCAGGTCAACACAGTGCCTCGGACACTGGGAGGTGACCAGTGCCACTGGGTGAACAATGGGTCACAGGAGGAGGGACAGGTTTGTGAAGGTGATTCTGGAGACGGTGGGACACACAGGTCCAGCCCGAGGGCTTTGGCGGGAGGGGTGACCTTTGGTACCTGCCCCGAGCATCCTTCCTCGTCAAGGTCCCTGTTCCCTGTGATCTGACCACAAGGCGCTGGACGTTCCCCTCATTGGCCGGAGCGGC